CCCCTGCATGGCGGTGGAGGTTGAAATGATAGCAGGAAGGAATCACTTTTATTGCTGTGTTGTAGGTTTTTTAAAGCTGAACCAGCGTGTTAATGGACGCCGTTTTTAATGGCTGACAGGACCGTGACTGCGCCTTGTCGCCTGATGAGCTGAGGGACCTGTTTGATGTTTTCCCGTACACGCCCTGGGGTCCAGATGTCAACAACACGGTGTGCACCAACGAGCAAGGCTGGATCACCTACCAGGGCTTCCTCTCTCAGTGGACGTAAGTAGAGGAGAACTGAAGGCTTCTTCCTTTTTTATCGTTTATACCTGCATGTGTGTTTAAAACAGTCATTAAAGATCATTGACTGATTCTTGGTGCAATTCAAGCCCTTCTGGATTTATTTTCATGGGCAAACAGTAGTTGTCATGAAGCTGAGGGACATCAGCAGCAGGAGAAGGCAGGGAAGGAGCTTCCCATCAGGTCAGAGGAGGAAGCAGGAGCTGCAGCTTTATGATGCTGATTAAAGCAACAGGAGGAGTTTCATTTCATTCCCTCTCTGCTGTTTGCATCTTCTCTGCTTCACAGTGACTCTCCTGGTTAAACCAGCTGCTATCCTCAGCAGGAAGGAGGAGCAGCAGGAGCTCCTGCAGGAGCGTCAGTACTTCCTGATCCCTGGATGAGGGAAAGTGTGTCCTCCTCAGGACAGTTTTAATCATTTTAGATCCTTAAAATCAGTGTTTTCATTACGGAACGAATCCGGACTCATTTCTGTTCTGTAGTGTGGGACAGGAAGCGGCTTTGGTTTTTTACTGGGGTATAAACTGGGATTAACGTTCGTTAATCGTTCGTCTAGATTATTCTGAAAAGATCTATATTAATAGACTGTTTTTCTCTTTTCCCTGCTTTAATCAATTATTTCCTTCCTTTCATTCTTCCTTATTTATTCTTGTCTCCCTTCTTTCCTTCCCTTAATCACTTCCTTCCTCCCTCTCCTGTTTTCCTTCCTTTCTTTATTCCTTCCCTGCATCCTTACTTTCTTTCCTCTATTCTTCTTTTTTTGTTCGTCTTCTTTCCTTCCTTTCTCGATGCCTCTTAGCTTTGTCTGTTTTTCTGCAGGCTAACGACGTATCTGGACGTCCAGAGATGTCTGGAGTATTTCGGTTACCTTGGTTACTCCATAGTTGCTGAGCAGGAGTCCCAGGCTGCAGGAATCACAGGTCATTTGATCAGATCCTCTTTTTTTCCTTTAATAGAAATTATGACTTTATTTAAGGACAGAAAACAGTTGGTTGTGGATGTCTGTTAGACAGGAGCCTAACTTCCTGTGCGATGGAATAATGCAGGCGATCAGGCGTAACGTGGCTCGCTGCAGCCTGAGCTGACCTGCTGTGTTTGTGCTTCGGCCCCCTGCAGTGACCAGAGCTAAGAAGATTGACCTGCAGAAGAAACAGACGCAGCGGAACGTCTTCCGCTGCAACGTGTTTGGAGCCGTGGGCAGCGGGAAGAGCGGCTTCCTGCAGGCCTTCCTGGGCAGAAACCTGCTGGTAGGCAGAAGCTTAGATCCTGGTGCAGAGCTGCAGACGGCCCAGGATTAGCTGGATCATTGCATTAAAGTGCAGCGGGTCAGAGGTGGGCTAAATGAAGCCGCAGGGAAGCTGGAAGGGCGGGAAAATCTGATGGAGCTGAATGATGACTGGTTGGACTGAGGAGGATTTAAAGACCTAGAATGAATAGAGCAGAACATCAGAAACAAGCTTTAATTGTTTCTACTTTAATGCTTTGTTGTGGATCTATAAACCAAGCTCTAGTTTGATCTGCTGATATCTGATTTCTCCTCAGGAGGAGAAAAACATGACCTTTGACCTTTCAAAGCCTGTCCTCCATTAATCATTCATCTTTAAAGCAGGAACTATTAAATTAATAATAACATATTAACAGAAACATCTTGAGATTCCTTCAGCAGCAGCCAATCGTCAGACGCGTCTCTGATGTTCCTCCTGTGAACATGAAGCCTTTAGGGTTCAGCAGAGATTCCATCCAAACTGGCTGAGAGAGAAAAACCCAGCGATGCTATTGATTGTTTCAACTGTCGCCATGGTGACAGAAATTGATTATCTTCAGTTTGGTTTTAGTGGAAATTAGGACTCGATATTCGACTCAATCAATATAATTCCTTTATGATTATCAGCCTGCCTGTTGTTTGACCTTTTACTGCGCAGAGGTCCTGTGACATCAGCGCAGTGACATCACTGTTTGTGTGACATCACCTCTGATTGGTGTTTTCTTTGCTCCTCGCAGAAAGCGTTTTATTTAACATTCCACTTTTCTCTTTCTAGCGACAGAATATGATGAAGGAGGAGCACCGATCGTTCTACGCCATCAGCACAACCTTCGTTTACGGCCAAGAGAAATACCTTCTGGTGAGGATTTAAACTCAGACCGTTTCCATAGTGACGCCTGTAGAGATGGTTAGTGACCCGTCTGCTCCACGGATCCCATTAAAAACCCAAACTGAACCTGGAGCTGCTGTCAGCCCACCTTAAACCCATCCTCCTTAAACCTGTCCACCTTAAACCGGTCCACCTTAAACCCATCCT